GACCAGAGAAGGAATGATTGTACAGGAATGAGGGAATAAACAAGGAAATCTTCTCTGGGGACTGTTACATGTAGAAATTGAAATAATAAAACAATTGAAATAACAGACTTCCAGCTTGACTTTATTTAATAAGTGCAACAGAACAGAAAACAATGCTAAAGGTCAAAAACTAAAGCAGAGAGTCAGCAAAAATAACTTGACCAGATCAAACAATTGAATGCAAAGACAAAAAAATTGATGAGTAGTGCATAAAACATTTTAAAAGTTTGGCAGCACTAAGTGCAAGGAATATACACAAAATAAAGCAAAAACTAGACATGACGAAAACAATCAAGAATAGCTCAACGGGGTGAAGTACTAACCAAAGGCAAATATGCCTTTTATATAAATGAAGGGTTCAGATTGTTTCAAAAGACCCCTATCAATTGAGTCAAAGTTTTCTTCAAAATACTTTTTTTTTCTTTCCTTGTTGAGTATACAAAAGTTAATTTTTATATGAAGTTATCTCAGCAAGTGAAAGAATAAAAAAGGACCATTTCATTTTAGCAAATGATTGAATCTAAACTTCGGTTGAGCAGTGCTTTTTTCTCATCTTAATCCCTTTAAAGCCCTCTGATCTTCTCAGGAGGCTAAAGACAATAATATCAAACCATCGACAGTTGAAACTTAAGGTTTTGCATTGAGTGATACAAATAATTTGTATGTCAAGCAAGTAACATATTCATGACATTCAGGTTTAACATCAGCGATGCATCAAACATAAGACAAGCTACTTGCAGTGAATTAGCCAATTCTTGCTCCTCCAAAAACTGACCCCCAAATTCTTGAAGGATTACAAGGTCAGTTTCATTCATTAATATACAAATGCACGTTAACATTCTTTGACCAATTTCTTCTGGAAAGCAAGGGTTCTTCTAAGGTAAAGACTTTTGTTTAGAATGCTACATTTAGTGGAGTAAATGCAAATTATATGCTAAAGACTTGGAGGTCCTATCAACTATTTTAACGGATGTTCAAGTCATGTGTTTTTGCTCAGGGACATATAGTCATCATCTTCATCACCGTTAAGTGGCAAGATGGGGTTGCAGCAATAAGGTGTGTGGTATTTTTATTGAGATCTGGGACTGTCCATCTGATTTACAGGTGTTCTTAGCCTTAGGTCTACTGGTTTGAGCAGGGAAAGGAGCACAAGTGATACATCTGCTGGTTTCACAGGATTATGATGTATTTTGGGTCAGAACAGAAAATAAGAGCTTTTAATCAGAAGTATCTTCCTTCCTGCACATCTTCTTTGGAAAGGATAATTATTATGGCCTTTTTTGTGTGTTTTAGTGAATAGATATACTTCCTTCCAATCCAAAATATAAGCAGCTTTTAACAATAATTTGCATACCAATAAAATTTTTATTTTCATGAAAGTACATATTGTTTTTCCCCTTTTACTCTTAGCTCCAATTTATAATGAGTGAGAAGATGGTTATAAATTCATAGATATAAGAATCTAAGTCAATAAATACGCTAAAATGGGAATTGTCTTTTACAAATACTAAGTTACTTATAGGTTGTACCAAAATTAGCTAGAAGAAAATGCTTATATTTTAGATCGGAGGGAGTACATACATACATACATATATATATATTTTCTGGGGCTGGATTCATTATAGATATAAAAGGGATTAAAAAGCTCTTTTGAGTTCAAGATTCTTGGTTATTTTCTATTGAATGAGGAGAATCTCTAATCCTCTATAATTGTATCATTATTTGTACTCATCAATACCATAGTCTAGTAATTGGAATATACAAGAAAATATAGTAACAATAAACAAGCAAGTACCATTTCAAAAGAAAATAAGACAAAAATGAAGTCTTACTGGATCCTTGAATTGCTTATTGACTTGTTTCAATCACCTCCTTCATGCCTTCAAGCCTCACAAGAAGTGCATCATCACCAAAGTCATCCTCCACACCAAACATGCGGGTCATCTGCAACAACAACCAGAAAGAATCTTCCATCTGAGCCTAGTATGTAATAAATATGCCAAGTTGCCATGTGAACATCATCAGCCCAGAGCTTTGAAGTCTCAAGAAGGACAAGCAATTCATAAAGTTACTCAGAATACATCATTGCTGATGTATTATAGCAAAGATAATGTGAATAGTATGCAGAGACTGGGCATGAAACACAGAACAGAGCACACCGTAATCCTTCTTCTATCAAGGTTAAGAAATATGAAGAATGAAGAGAAAAACCTTGAATGAAACATATAGTAAATTTTGACAAACATGAGACCATTTATAGGATGAGATTACAAGACATGGCATTGACTGTTCATAATTACTCTTCTGGTCTTATTTATAAGTTATTTCTAATTATCTCACAAAAACCAAGAGAAGATAGTTAAATTATTGGTGTTGTCTAAAAAAGAAAGAAATTTCCTAATTTACCCTTATTAAATGCATCATTTTTAAAAAACAATTTATCTCTCATATAACCTTTTAATTTCTACTAATCAAAAATTATGAAAGGGTAAAATTAGAAAAAAGCAACTAATGATCCAACTTGAATTGCAAAGTGACTTATAATAAAAACCATGAATTTTTTTTTTTTTTTAGAGTGACTCATATATAGGACCAGAGGGAGTACACAATAATATGCTACTGATTACATTATTGTAACCTACCTAATACGGAAATAAATACATGCTGAACTTGTTCATACACACTAGCTAACTATTCAGCATATTTACATCTCAAAGATACAGTTAGTTTAAAACAATGATTTTCGTTTTGAGGTTCACTTTTCAACAGATTATAATACAAGAGAAGACAACTATTAATCTAAAGTTCATACCTGATTAATCAAACCACCAAATTTATTTTTCAAGGACAAAACTTTTGCAATACCCTTTTCCAAAACTGCTGGGAACTGCAAAAGTCTGAGTGTATGGCCTGTGGGTGCAGTATCAAATACTATAACAGAATAATCCATTGTTTGCACCAATCTGTAAAAGAAAATAATCAATCAAATCACAATGATGGATAAAGGAAGTGGATAAAATTACAAGTTACGTTGGAAACAGAATCCAGAAACATTAAAGACCTCGCATACTATATTGACAAATATGCAGATTTCTTTCATTGAAGACCTGAATGAGAAGCTATGTTCAGAATTATGCAGATTTTTCTCATTACTGAGCTTTATGCTTTCTAAATATGAAGTTAAGCTTGCATTGGACCCTGCTAGATCCATCATTAAGTATGAATGGCTCCAAAATATGCAATGAGAAGTGCACCATGTAAATAAGTATCAATCAGAAGCTCAATATTACTACTTAAGGGTGTATGACACATGGACTTTTGGTTAATTCCTGAGATACGAGCCTATACCCCATGTTTGGTATGGCATTTAAAGTACAATTTTCATACAACACAATTTTACATCCAAGGTGAAAAGCTAATTGTGATATATGACTTTCTAAAGCAGTATTTGACACCATTTGGAGTAAATGGATGATATATTCATACTGATATTATCCAGAGCCAAGCCTCAACCGCACTCAATTCATTATATTATCATTCCTTGTCTTGTCATACCAAACGTATTCAATTGCAGTTTGTTCAGTATAATTACACATTGAATGGTTGACACGCATATTGACTTTTTTCTTTCTTTCTTTCTTCCCTTCTTTCCTTCTTCTTCTTCTTTCTTCTTTTTTTTTTTGTGGGTTCAAAGCATGCTGAACACACTGATGTTATCCAGAGCAAAGCCTGAACCACACTCAATTCATTATATTATCATTCCTTCTCTTGCCACACCAAACATATTCAATTGCAGTTTGTTCAGTATAATTAGACATTGAATAGCTGATATGCATATTGATTTTTTTGGTTCAAAGCATTCTGACCACAGAAGCAATATCCAAAGATCATTGAGATGATATGAGTATCCGAGAAATAAAGCAATGAGCAGCAAAAGAACAATAATTATGGCCAAAGTATTTATCATTTGCCAAGTCAGCAACCATGGATGCCTAAATGGGCATATACCGCAAGGAGTCTTGCAAGGACCATACAGAGGAATTCAGTAATTTCCAATACAAAAAGACACACCAAACATGGTAATCCAAAGCACCTAGACATTCAACTCTAAATTTGAATTCTATGCAAAATTGTTTCAACAAAGATATCATAACTCTACAGACCTAACCCTCTGGGTAATTATATCAAACCATTATTAATCATTTACTTAACCAATGAATGTTCTACAAATAGAAGGCGTCAAAACTCTCTGTTTTAGCTCGGACATTTAAGGGACTCTCATTCTCATACACCTTGAAACTGACAGGCCTATACTGTTATAAACACAATATGGCACAGAAAACTTTCAAATTCAGGTGGACATTATTGATCGAAATTCAAGTCAAGACAAAATCAATACGACAACACATATTTCTTACTTCAACATCTCAGCAAAACTCATTGCCTCGTCAATTCCAGGTATAGCACCTGCTAGCTCTGAAAACAAAGTATCCATTCCCTCAGAACTCGTTTCCTCTTGTTCAACAGTAGGATCCACCTCCTATAAAGTATGGATCATAATAAAGAATGAGAAAAATACTTTGCAACATAATTACAGTAAATATGATAAGGACCTTGATAACATACTATGACAAGAGGTAGAGGGAAAGTATAAACCAAAAAAGCTTCTGCCAAAATTATTTCTCGACACAAACATTTGGCATGAACTCAGGATATACATGCCAATGATGCATGAAAGAAAGGTTGAGTGAGAGAGAAATCCCCTTATTTGCTAGAGGTAGAGAGAGAGAACATCCCATTCTTCATTTATGTCTATAAATTATGAAATCGATTGCTTGGGCATGCTCAGATTTATCAGAAAGGGAAAATTATTGATAAAAGGCAATCCTATTATTCAAAGGGTAAATCGCTAGGATACAGCGCGAAAACAAATAATCAAGAACTGGAGGTTTACCAACGCATAAAGATTGGTGAACCCATTAACCAAAGTGGGTGTCTTCGTGAACCGTTGTTGAAAAGCATCACTGAGATTGTGAGCAGGGTCGGTGGAGATGATCAGAACGGAGCCACGAACGCCGGCGAGAAGGATCGAAAGAATGGAGCTACAAGTTGTCTTGCCAACTCCTCCTTTTCCTCCGACGAAAACCCACTTGAGACTCTCTTGGCTCAGTATGTTCTCCACCGTCCCCTCCGGCACCTCCTCCTGATCCGCCATGGACACAGCTTCTGTTCGCGCTTTCTATCAATCTCCAGTGCTTTCACAGTTGATCAAACACCGAGAAATCCGGATAATTCCATTGGTATGTGGTACCGACAGGGGGGAAAAACGCATGGCAGATTTAGTTCAGGGTGGAGTATATAAAATCGATATGTATGAAGACAAATAAATTGTTGCTTGCTAGAGTTTGATTCCAAATTAGCCGAACCAAGAAGGCAAGAAGCAAATTCCTTACGTGAAATGTGGTATATTGGGGCTGATCGATCAAAATGCATGAGAACTTTTTGGCAGCCAAAACAGAAAAAAAAAAACAAAAAACAAAACAAAACAAAAAAAAAAAAAAACCAAACATTTAAGGCTTGTTTGGTTATTATTTTTTTTTGTTTTTAAAAGTTGTTTTATAAAACAATTTAAAAAACTGTTTTTAAAAACAAATAAAAAAAATACTTGTTTGGTGATAGTAATTTAAAAACAATTTTAGAATTAAAAAAATAAAAAAACTTGCTCGGCAATATTAATATTGAAAATAAATTTTAAAAATTAAAATATAATAAATTTGTTTGATTTTGATAGAAATAGATATGAAAAATCTGCGAGTTTGTCTTATTAACTTTGCTGCCAAAGTTTAATTTTTATTAATTCCATCATTTAAATTTATTTTAATTATTAATTTAGTTTTTATTATTTAAACAAAAAATAACATAGTTAAAGTATGCTAACATCAATAACATAATATTGATGCTTGCTATGTAAATTAATAAAAAATATAATTATAATTTATGTCAAAAAAAAATATAGACTTAGGATTTAATAAAAACAAAATAACAAAGCATACCGTAAGGGCTAGATTAATAAAAAAAGTTAATTGATTTGAAGGATAATCTATTCTTAGTCAATTACACATATATGTTAACTCATGGGTTAATAAGCAAAATGAACCTTAAAATATTGTGCGAAAAGAGTCTTGGATCCTAAACTCTTGAAATGTACAAAATAAATTTTAAACTTTTAAATTGACAGTAAAATGAACCTTTATCGTTAATTTTTCTAATGTTGTTATTGTTTATTTTGTTAATTAATGTCATATAAGAGTGTTCAAAATCGATCCAAATTGAAAGGACCGATCTAAACCAACCCAAACTAAAAAAAATCGATCAAAACTGAACAATAATTAAGCCTATTTCTGTTTTTATGATATGAGAATTGATTGATTTGGTTCAAGTTCGATTTTGAGTATAAAAAACTGAACCAAACCGAGCAAACTTGATTAAAAAATATTACTTATCTATTTATTAAATATATAATCATTTATTTACAAGAAGCATTTTGTTTTGAATTTTTTATAGTAATAGATAAACATTTTTAAAGGACTTGAATGGAAATGCATAATATTAAACAATTATGACAATGATGCTATGACCATCATTTAATTATTTACAACTTGAAAGCCTTAGTAATCAATTTATCTATAAGAAGCATTTTGTTTTAAATTTTATATTATAAGGTTTTCATTATTTATTAAAATATAGATACATAGATAAACATTTTCAAAGGACTTGAATGGAAATGCATAATATTAAATAATTTTAATCTTAAAAACTTATATCAATTTTTATGATTAATTATCATTATCATTTTAAATTTTATTATATTTTTATACCTCTATTTATGAAAAAAAGGAGCCAAAAAGAATTAAATTTAATTTTAATACATAGCACTATTATGAAGATGAAAAAAAAAATTAAATAAGTGCATTGAAACCCGATCCAGACCTTAACCAAACTGAACTAAACCGAAAATTAAATCGAACCAAACTGAGCTTCATAAAAACCGATCAGGTTTTAATTATGAGTAAACTGAATGGTTCAGTTCGATTTGGTTTTTTGCCAAAACCAAACCAAACTGAACCTATGAACACCCTTAGACTGCTATAGACTCTAAACTATTACACAAGTAACATCTTACACCATAAATTTTGAAATTTCAAGCAAATTACCTCCAATATTTATATATAAAATATTAACTATTATGTAGACTAAATTAGTCTCAATGTGGCCCACCGAGATGAACACATCCTTGGTCGTGACGAACAATCCATGATTTTGTGAAATAACATTTTTTGCCCCTTTTTTTTTTGTAATGTTTTCCAAACAATTGGTATCTTATAACTTTGCATACTATGTAACTCTAATTTATTCTTATTTTGGATAATGTTTATTTATTTGGTTAAAACTTGAGATCCCATTGAAAAATAAGTTTAAATATCAGAGAATTTTAATTAACTAGTTAATTTGGGTTTTAAGTCTTCACATCCATCGTTTGTAAAATTTTCTAATACTTAAACTTCTTTTCAAATAAGATCTTAAGTTTTCACTATTACATAAATAAACATTATTTAAAATCAAAATAAATTAGAATTATAGAATATACAGAAGTATGAGATAACAATCGTTTGGAAAACATTGTAAAAAATGGGACAAAAAATATCATTTCACAAAATTAATGGATCATTTGCCACAGCCAACGACGCTTTCACTGTGGCAAGTTACGCTGAAACTAATTTGGTTTACATAATAGTTAATATTCTATACATAAATGTTGGAGATAATTTGCTCGAAATTTTAAAGTTCAAAATCCAAGACGCTACTTATGTAATAGTTTAGGGTCTGTAGCACTAATTAGCAAATGAACAGTAATGACATTAAAAAAATTAACGGGTAGGATTTATTTTGCCATGAATTTGAAAGCATATAATTCATTTTACACATTTTAAGAATTTAGGATTCAAGACGCTTTTCGTGCAATATTATAGGGTTTATTTTGCTCATTAACCTTTAAATTATTAATATACTTTATATATGAAATTAATTTGAGAGTAAATTTGTGTTCTAAAACTTAAAGGAACATGATAATTTAAGAAAATATGAAATCAAATTGATTAAAATTAAACTTAAAAAATTAAATTGATAATTGAAATAAATTTAAGAGTTTAAAAATTTTATTATTATTTTTTAAATAAAATCCATCAATCGAGGTTATCGCTGAGGTTACTATTGTGAATTGGAGCCGCATCACTGTGTTCCACTTAATCTTACCCACATTCATGGTGAAACTAGGTGCATTATCCATGTTTAATGGTGTTGCTCTCAAAAAAAAAAAAAAACTAATCCATGTTTAATTGTGGGTCCATTCTGACAAGAAGGATCCAAATCTCAACCTTAGCACTGGCTTGTTTGCATTTGAAGTTCAAGCAATAATATATATTTATTTATATCAATAGCACAAATTAATAAAAAAAATTAAAGTTATAGTAAACTCTATTATTTTAAAAATGAAAGATAAAAATGTGGGATTCATGCGTTTCATATTACTTGGAACATTCTATGCTATTTGACTCTTCCTTAGAACTATAAAATGTTGAGATATAGTCAAAGTTGTCAGACTCATGAATTTAATTACACTTATAATGTGAATGTAAAATTGAATCAAAAACTCTAATTATAAATTTACAAGAATTTATCGTTATTAATAAATAGCTAGTAAAAGTATATAATTAAAAAAATTAAAATATAAAATATAACTATAATTTGATTTAAATATATTTTAAATATAAATAATTAAAATTAAATTCATCTACATTGTTAGATTATCATACTCAACACATAAATTTTAAAATTAGGCAACTTATTTTTGGTATTTCTTATTTTTATTTTTTTTATTAATATTAGGTTTTGCTTTTTTGCTTTTTATTTTTCTTTGAATGGGGGTTCTACTGTTTATATAAACCAAATTCTACACATAGTATATATCTAACTCGCTCAACTTGGTAAAAAATTAACAAGCTTAGCAAATTTAATTGGGTTTGCATTTAGTTTGAATTTATGAATAAATTAATATAATTTTGTAAATTAAAAACGTAAAAGCGATAAATTCAGAGAGTTAACATGTGAGTTTACATCTAGTTTAGATTTATAAGTGAGTTGACATAATTTTATAAGTTAGAAACGTAAAAATAACAAATATAAAGAGCTGACTCATAAGATTTGCTTGGTTAAGAGGGCGGGGAGGGGAGGGGCATAATTTTGTTACCTAATGACTAATATATTTCTTATCTTAATTGCCACTCTTCATCTTTTTAATCAAGTTTAGCAATGATAAATTTTTAATAGTATATTTAACAATGAAAATTACTCTATATATATTTATAATTACATGTTAAAAATATTCATAACTATATTTTATTAGAAAAAATAATTTAAATAATATAAGGGTAAAGTTATTTATATATTATTATTTTTCTTTCCCTCCTCTCCTAAACCAGATAAAGCAACAATAAAATCTCTCTCCTTCCCTTTATTAAAATCTCTCCCCTTTCCTTGAATCAAAAAATCACATAGCCAATGGCCAATTGATCAGTAGACTATAAAGGATGATATTATTTCTGTTATAAAGAAACATAAACATTGGTACTAGCTAGTTATTAGTTGACATTCATTAAAAAAAAAGAATGACTGAAGGAATAAAAAAAAGCATTAACTTACAAACTTAATGCAATTAATTAATTAATAACAATGATAAAAAGTTTGATTAATTGAAGTGTTGGCAAAAGTATTGTAAGAGCAAAAAATATATCGTAATTCAAAATTATTTTAAACAACCAAATTGGTACGTAGTGGTGCTCTGGAATTGGCCAAATCCAATTATTTTTAGGGACAAATTTAAGTATTTTGAACGGTATTATTCATATAACAAAATCATATTCACTATCACTAAAATCTTGATTCTCATTCTCCTAATTACGTTTTTGTGTTTTCTATTTTTCTTGTTTGTTTCAAATCATTGTTACTGTAATAATGGATTTTCAATATAAAAATATAGGGTTGATGAGATGGTTGAGTTAGTCTAAGGCACTAGATTAAAATTCTGGTTTGAAAGCATGTGGTTACATATCCCATTCTCAACATTTGATTTTTCATTTTTAATGGATTTATGGCTGTGGCTTGCATTACAAAGAAGTTGGTTAATGTTCATGACTTAGAATTAGTCCTCAGATGGCATTGTCTTTGGATGGTTCTTTATCACCCAAATTCTTTTGGTTTTGGAAGAAGAATGTTCTCCACCTTAGCTGGTTTGTTATTATGTTGAGTAGTTGCGCATTTTTATTGTATAAGTTTAATTTCCCCCCATATCTCTAACAAAAGAAAATAAATATATTTTCTAAAAATAATTTTCTCATTTTAACTTGATAA